ATTTGCTCTCCGGCCTCCTCACAGTTGCTTTATGCTTTTAGGGGGAGTTTTAACGAAGTAAATTCAGGGTTAAATTTTCATGAGGGAGATTGGGATTGTTTATAAGACACCCCGAGAAATTTCGCTCTCATTTTGCAAAGACTTTATGATCTAAGTTCTGGTTTTTCATAGGCGCAAGCCCCTATAGTTAATTACCCCTCCCGATAACGAGAGAACTTTCTATTAAGGCTAGTTGTCAATCAAATACATAGTATTTGGCATATAGTAACAGCATAGGTTTTGAAAGTTTGATATTTAAATTGAGAAATTTCACAATCTTGCACAAAAAGCAGTGGTGGTCGACCCAACCTGACAAAATGATCCTTATCGACAACCATGGGTTGCATCGTCCAAGGATACCTTATAGACCTGTGATGAATATTTGTCTAAGGAGACAAATTTGAATCCACCTTAGCTAACAGAGGACTTTGTGCCCTATCGATTATATCTTATTGATTCATACCTCAAAGATTTAGTATCATTGGGGAGCATACGAGCTCAGTCCATTACCGTAATTTAGTGGTATCATTTGGCGGTGAACCACCTAGTTTAGAGGGCCCCGGTCATAACCGTTTACCTGTCGAGCCATTTGGCGGCAAAACTGCCAGTTAAAAGATACGTATCACATCCTAACTGGCATAGAAGCCCTGGCACATCTCGACAAATTCGATGCTCTATACGTCTGTCGATAGTACTGAAGAACTGTGAGGTAAACATCTGGTAGCATCAGTCTCTGCTAAAAGGACATGTTGAAATAACTGCTCATTTGAAGGAACACGCTCTTCAAAATGGTGGTCAAAAACTGGTAAATGTGAGCTTCTCTGCTCCAATCCAGCATGTACTCCTTCCTGAGTCTAAGAACTTCACCAAACAACAGGCCAATAAGGAGGGAGACGCCCGTGGTCGAACAACTAGGCATAAACTGCCTCATAAATCCCTGCCTCCTAGAGTATACCCCTGTGTGCCTGAAAAATGTAGCAGGCCCAATGAATGTAGTCATTGATGAGGCTCTAAATATGTCCAACTACAGAGTCTCTAGGTCACTCCAAAGAAGTCAACTGTAACTGGCGATGGCTGAGAAGACTCAAATATCTAACTAACTCAGTTGAATCAACTAATGGCTCCAAAACGTCATAAGTACCCATTGACTAGGGTCCTTGAACTCAACTGAATTTGTAGAATACTCTGGAAGCAAAGGAAAGCGGGCAAAGAAGTTGTGGAAAACATCTTGCCCCTATAACATGTCCTGATCATACTCCAACTTGTCTCGGATATCAGCACTACCCTGGGGGTCCTATCTATCAATAGCCTTCCAAATGAAAGCCTCATTGGGCTCGCCCGAAGGTAAAAACGTCAAGTCTCTCCCAATGAAATATTTTTCAATACAAAAAGAAAATAGAAATACATTAGAAACAAATATAATAATGACAAACTACGTCACAACAAATGTGGTACGCTGTAGACACGTATCATATTTGTTGGGGAGTATACCCTTATACATCAAACCACGTATAGAAGGGGAAAAATCGGCAAACGAAGCAACAAGCGCGTCGATGCAACGAGTCACTTGAAGGGTTAAACGACCTCTGATTGCTAAACAGTCTGCTCCATCGCAATTAGGACATCAAGTTCACCTAAGTGAGAACCCCAGTAGTAAAATCAAAGGATATTGGTCCAAAAAGATGACCAACACTTGAAATTGAAGTGCAAAGTCGCCCAAACAATGTACGATTGTAGAATGGATTTCATCATTGCATCTGGAATATCGTCAAAACTCAAAAGGCACTATCAACTTGTTCAATTGGGGACATCCAAGGTGGCGGCATGAATTTTGAGGCAATGACACGTAAAACGAGGAATTTGGCATGCGGCGCCACCGAAATGACGGTATATCGCACAACGGACTTCGCCGTTACGTTTGGAACATCGACAATATTCAAAAATGACAGTCAATTTGATTAATTAAAGACTTGTGAGAAGATTAACACACATTTCAAGCCAACGCAAGCAAATCAAGAAAATTGGCGTGCAACGTTACCCAAACGACGTTCGATTGTAAAACGGACTTCGCCGTTGCGTTCGGAACATCAACAATACTCACAAATCAATTACTAATTTGTTTAATTAAAATCATGCAATGGGAGCGAGTCCCGAGGTAGTGTCACTATTTGTCAATTAGTTTTGCGCTCAGCAATATGATTGACCTACTATCCCGCTTGTATTTCAATGTTTGTGGGGATTGTTGCAGGAACTTGTATGTTACTTAGTGTTGATTATCGAGCACTTCAATATTCACTGTTTATTGACGATCCTCACCTGCAAACATATTATTGCATCTGCGATGAGCTGATGTATTTATTTGCAAACCTAATATTATCATTGACCTACTATCTAACCTCCAAATGCCTCATCCATTTCCATCTGTAGCACACTCGACATAGTCATCAACCTCACAACTGGCATTCACATAGCAATTGTTGGAGGAGAGAAGCTTGCAGATGAAAGAGAATATATAAGTGAAGCAAGCATAATGGTAACAAGACAGATCAACATTGTGCTTAATGGCGATGTCCATTGCACTATAATTTCGTGCACTACATGAAAACAGCTCATTTCCGGCAGAATTTTCGGCCGAAATAAATTCATTACAAATTCTGGTGGATTACCGATGATTTTTCGGTGTATTTTTTGATTCATTTACCGGCGAATTTATTTCCAACGGAATTTCCAACCAAATTATTTTTTCTTAAATAATGACTATAATAAATATTTATTATTAATTATTTTGTGAAATTAAGTTAAATAATTTAATAACTTATTAACAAATAAATTTAATTAAATTAGATATTATTAAATTAAATTAATTAAATAATAATTAATAATTCATTATTAAATTAAATAAATTTAAATATTATTAACTTAAATTAATTAAATTAATAATAAATTATTAAATTAAATTATTTTTTTTTTGGCCCAAAATAGTTCGCCGAAAATTATACCGGCAAAAAATTACGCCAGAAATCCGCCAAAAATATTTCCGACGGCCTATTTTGCACCGGTATGACTTTTCCAACGCGCATTTTACCGTCGAAAATAAAAAACGTCGGAAATATTAATTTCCAACGGATTTTAAGCATTTACGAATTATGTTCGCCGGTAGCACGCAATTTTCCTATAGTGGTGGGAGGAATAAGATATAAGCCATGCACGAAAAGACTTTAGTTATATAACAATAATATCAAATTTTGCAAATAGGATAAACATTTTAACCTAAGTTGCAAACAAGAAAAATAATGCAATACTTTTCCAACGAGCATTTTACCGTTGAAAAAAAAAACGTTGGAAATATTAATTTCCAACTGATTTTGAGCATTTTCCGACGAATTATGTTCGCCGGTAGCACGCAATTTTCCTTTAGTGGTGGGAGGAATAAGATATAAGCCAAGCACGAAAAGACCTTAGTTATGTAACAATAATATCAAATTTTGCAAATAGGATAAACATTTTAACCTAAGTTGCAAACAAGGAAAATAATGCAATAATTTTTGGGTTCAAAGAAATCCTAGCATAAATCCAATAAGTATAATTGCTCTTTTTTGAAAAATAGGATAAGCTATTATCTTTATTTACAAAGTTTTGAAATTATTATCCTTTTGTGCTCACAATCCCAAATAGTGAGTTTTGTATAAATAAACCATTAAAAAACTATAGTGAGAAATTATTATCTTTCAAACATCATGCTAATTTAAAATGTTGCGGCCATCACCATAATTGTATAGGATTCATAGACAAATGTCAATATTGTCCTCTATACCTCATTAAAAAACAATTTTGTAGGGTTATATATACTTCAAAAGAATTGGATTTTCTTAAACGCTAACAAAAAAAGTTGTAAATCCAATTGCATTTCTTTAGACTTAGGTTGGAGATAATACTTTGTAGTCCTTATATTAATTTTGAGTCTGAGACTGATACATCATAAGTTCTCACCTCTTAGACATTTTATCAATCTTATTTTAATGAAATATAAATTCAAAATTTTTAATAGAATGAATAGTTCAATATATCCAATAAATTCAATATTAGAACTTAAAGCCCAATATATGATAGTTTGGAATATACATGAGCGTATTAGAATCTAGTACTCTCTATTTTTCTAACTTTTGGCCTCCAAAAAAAAAACTATGTCAATCCTATTTGAAATTCTAAAAAAACATCATTGTTTAAAGTACAAAATCTTAAAAAAATATTTATCACTATAATCAAGAGTATTCTCAAGATATCTCTTGGAAAATAATTAATCATAACAACTTGTCATTATGAGGAAGATATACCTAAAAATAAAAATAAAACCCTATCTTCTTCATATGAGGTTGAGGAACGAAGAGGTCCTTGATGGGGAACATAGATACTTTTTTATATCTTAAAAATATCTGACATTATTTTAATCGATGGTGTTCCTAAGAAATTTACCTCATGGGATGTAATAAACTATAAGGACTTGTCTTTATGGTGAACATGTACCTCAAAATAAAAATAAATTATATCTTATTCATATGAGTAGGGGAATATAGACATTTTTCAATATCTTAATTGTTTTCAAATTTATTATATAATGTTATTCATGTCTTTCAAGATGATATGTTATTCTCTATATTATATTTGACTAACCAAATCAGTGGTTTATTTTTTCAGAATAATAATGAAGTTTCAATCATCTAAAATTTTAAAGTGGTTAATTTATGGAATGAAAAATGGTTTCAAATGAAAAACTTGTTATAATCTCATATAGCAGCATGCTAAATGATATACCGCAAGAGCTCAGAAGCCTCACAGCAAGACAGGCAAAAGAAGTATTGATAACCAAGGAAAAAAAATCAGGTCTTGCAATGTACTAAGAAGCTAACCAGTTATCATCCACAGGAAAAATATAATCGCATAAGGAAGAATCCATTTTTTACCGTCATATCCATTTGGGTTGACTGCTTCTGAAATTCTTTCATTATTTTCACCTGCTTTGTTGGTTTCATCTCCTGTAACAAACCAGTGCCTTTCCATAAGTCAAAGTCTCTAGTGAAAAGCTATCTTCAAGTATCCTATTACTATTTTTCCCTGAAACACCAATATGAGCATTTCTCATTATCTCATACCTTGTTCATTGCTGCCATTGCTTTGCTTGCGCCTTTCATCCCGGCAGAAATGGAGGTACTCGCATGCATTGCCTAAGGCAAGGAGAACATAAATATCATAATACAATTTAAAAAGAGCAACCAAGGAAATTATATTATAACAAATGGCCTTTTTACTCCTCACCTGTGTATGAGTTGCCACACCTCTTATTTGTGCTCGACTACCCTGCAAATTAGTGATTTGCTGTCTCAATCGCACTAGCTGACGAGCTAAGATCCTAGTAGCAGCCTACGAAGAACAGATAGGTCAAGTAATTGTTGAAATAAGTATATAGCATCGCAGAAGTAGAAAATGGCCGTTTTTTTGACAGAAATTTGCTACTTTTAAGCAAAATATTTGTCCAATGAAAAAAACCCTGGCAAACTAACAAACCAACTAGAGAGAAAACAAAAAGAAAACAGATCTGAAATATATAGCCCATAAAAGACACCTCATTTCCTGTTTTTGCTGTCTTCTTTATCTCTGCTACCAGCTTCTTCTCCTGCAAGAACCAATATACAAGAATGAGCCACCCATATAAAACTATGAGCCAAAAGCAAACTATTGTAAAAGGTGTTGGCTAAAGAAAAATTGAAGAAATAGCAAACCTCTAATTGCAGGGATGTAATCTCTCGTTCAATTCCTGAAGAGGAAAAGAGTGCAAAATACTTCAAAATAAAATTTTAATTAAAAAATGGATCTTAAGATGCAAATTTAGGGTTTCAATAAAACTCTAATACAGCAGTATCAGCCATTTAAATAATGCACCGTTAAACTGCATCATTCAAATTGATTAACCATATTGAGACAAAGATTTTCACCTCTTGTAGCAACTGACATTTCCCTTTTGCTCGTCCTGAGAGCATCTAAAGTAAACAAAAGCAAAACCCTAAGGATCAGAAATAACAAACAAGGAAACTGCAATACAAAGCTACGACAGGAAAATTCTAGAAATTTCGCCAAATGGCCAAGAATGCATAAACTCCTACGCTCAGAAAGTCTATTGGAGAATGGATAAAGACGCTGTAGACAAATCAAAGAAAGCTAAAAATAAGCTAAAATCATAAATGGGCAGAAATCTAGCACTGCCTCTCACGAACCCTTTCTTCTCGAAGGATAAAGGATCAAATCGAACCTTTAGCAGAGGTTTTCTTCTTGAAGAAATTCATAATTGTTGCCCCAAAGAGGATTTCTAGGGCTAGGAGAGCCAGATCTAGTGAGTGACACACGAATGCCGGCGACCGGAAGATCAGGCGAGATATGGTTGGAATTTAGAACTCTTAAACGAAGAAACTTGGAGCTGTTCCCATCACTGGCATGTAAGGGCGGCGTAAATAGCCGTTGCAGTGTTTCTACTCTCACCACCACCAGATGGCCTGCTCATAGATTTCATCGCCGAAGCGGTCTGGGCGGTGAAAATTTTTTAAACAGATTTTGTTTTAATCTGCTTAAAAAGAAAAAGTATTTAAAATTTTAAGATGAGATCTAATGACGTCCAGTAGCAGAGAGGGGGCCGACTAGCCGTTGGGCTAGCCGTTAGCCCTCTCAAAGACTCTTTTTCTTCTTCCATTTGTTCCTATCTAAACCTCTGTTTTCCTCTATTCATATTCTTTCTCTACTTTTTTTTTTTTTGAAATCTCATCTTGAAAAATTTTTTGCAAGCTCTAATTTTGATATATCATAGCATTTTTTTTCTTGGAGCACTGTGATTCATTGAGGAAGTTATCGACATGTACTTCTCTACGTCTTTATAAGACATAAGCTACTTAATTTTTTCATCCACATTCAACTTATGTATTTGATTTTGAGTGAAAATACAATTTTAATACATGTCTTTGCATCTTTTACAATTTGTTTCTCTTACTCATCATTGTCTTATAGGTTCAGTAATTCATCAAATCAACATATTAATAACTTTGTGATCGCCTCACATCTGCTCTTAATATAATATTCCATTGTAGCCTCATGTGATTTCAAGTTCAATAGTTCATTCCTCATTGTGTAAATTGATCATAAGCTTGTGAAATTTTATTTGAATATTATTCAGTCCCACAAGTTGGTATGTATTCTCAAAAATATATGTTTAGTATTAACTTTCAATCAATATTTATTAAAATAACCTTTGTATGCAACCTAATTAGTAGTTCAGTATGCTCTATATGCAGTAGTACATATAACATAGAGTTATTTCATTGACTAACAAATGTGAATCTTGAGTTTGTTCTAATGATTGCTAAAAACAATTGAAAATTTTGAATTCCAAATAGTTCATATCTTTGCATGAAAGTTTTAGCTCTATATTATCTATGTAAATACCCATCTTTTGTGTCAATTTGTACTTAATTGTATTCTAAAAATTCATATCTTTCATTGAGGCAGCTTTTATTCATCTATATTTCTTTTACTCGTCTCTTATTAACAACTTAAGTTTGTATTGCTCTTTTACAATCATTAATATTTATATGGGGATTTGGGCTTTCCATCTTGATTGACTCAAAAAATAACTTTTGATATATAAATCTCATTAAAATGAATGTTTAGGTTACATTTTCCAAAGTAATATCTCTTAAATAACACAATTAAACTTCTAAGAGTCACTAAAAGAAATTAAAAAACACTATTAATAACCTCATGTCTATACATTCCATGCAAACATTTTACCTATAACAAAGAAAGTAGAAAAGGCAATGCCTTTAGTCTTTGGAGGAGTGAAAATAAAGGTGGGTTATACACAACCCATACACTATAATGGGTCATATCAGGTCAAGTGCATGATCACTTATTTTTCCAAAATCTTTTATTAGAGAGAACTTCTTTTATCATTTGATTCACATACAAAGCCACTAAATTTCGATCATAAATGCATAAAATCAAGTATTATCTAAAATATATAAACATTCAAAACTCTTCTTCTCAAAACATACATACAATAATCATGATATATCATTCATCTATCAAAATACATTTAAACATCATGATTATAAAATGAATCTATCTATCGAAAAGAAACAATATATCTAACAACAATTAATCTCACTACTTAATTTGTCGTTGCTTTATTGTACGCTCTAAGATCTAATGGAAGATTAAGTTCCTAAATCTAGATTTTTCAACCACAATTTAATTTACTAGTCATACAAATAATTCAAAATAAATTAGATAACAAGGGAACATTCAAAATTTTATTTATGAAGGAATGATTCACAAATAATCTAGTATAAGTATGGTTTATATATCAAAATAAATCTAGATTACACAATTCATTAATAAAAAATTCTATCCAGATTGCTATCAACGACCTCACTCTATTGGATCCTCTCCTTTTCTTGAAATATTAGAAATCAACAGAGTGAGTATGTCAACTCAGTAGGCATACCCAAATCATATAGCAAGATTCAATACCCATATTGTAACTTATAAATAAAAAATTTAAGTATGAAATTTAAATAAATAGAAATAATTGTATAGTTTTTTAGAAATATGTTAGTTTAGATTTCAAATATTCATATGTTTCCTGTACTTTTATATGCATAGCATATTGACGTCTAAAATAGAAGATAATATGTAATTTCATTCACATCATCATAGAAGCATCCAAGCTGACTTATAAAGAATAATATAGTACACTTGTTTTCATAATATTCTTCCATAATTAAGCTCATTCCACTTACCATAATATTCTCTAGATCAAACTTATTTTATTTAATAGAATTTGCATAGTTTTTTTTGGGGACATTTAGGCCATTTAAGGCAAACTCACACACACAACGCATACACAAAGACTCGAACAACCTAAGACTTCTTAGTTGGAAGCCTAAGCTCTCAACCAACAAGACAAGGTGAGCTGTGTAGAATTTGCATAGTGATATGCATGTCTGAATATCTTCTTATAACTCCATCCACTTTTACCTCCCATAGTCAACCTCCACTATGTAAAGGAGACCATCCTGAATCCTCTTACAACTTTACTTTCACTTATCTCTCCTTTAAACCTCCCACATATGAATAAAATATATGGGGCCATAAAAAACATCCCAGATCTATATAAGACAATTAAGACCATAATAAGAAGCAAAATAGAATAAAGTCAGACCCACATAATAGAATTTATAGTGCATTTTATCAATCTTTTGCATTAGAAAAACTATCATATAAACACAAATGCCATAGAAAAAATAGTTATTTCCAGCGAACTTTCTTATATATGAATAGACAGCCTGTGAAACCCAAAATTTTCTTATAAAAATTTTTGCTCAAGAATAGTTAATATTTATTTATGGAGTCATCTTAAGTCCAAATCATGACCCGTCTTTGTCAGAACATTTATAATATTGTGTTCTAGCTTCCCTAATTTCTTCATAGTTTTTAGGCACTGCCAAAATTTCTTAAGAAATTAACACCTGTCAGTACAAGTGGAGTTTTTGGGACTGTCAGGTGTCTGTTTTGCAAACAAATTTTACCGGAATTTTCTAAATAAAATAAACTAATTTGTGAATATTTTTCTATAATTTTTGAAATCCTTAAAAGATTTTTTATGAATTTTCTATTGAAAATGTAATTATAATAATATTATTATATATTATTTAATAAAATAAAAATAAAAATATCTAATTACACTTAGTCTTATATAAGCATATCATGTTATATCCTTAACAGAAAACAAAATCAGATTTTGAAGAAAAAAAAAACTTAAGAAAAAGAGAGGAGAGAGAAGAGGAAATCCAGATTTTGGGCGACTTCTGGCCATTTCGTCTGTCGGCTCAGTTGAAAAACTTATTCGTCTCAAGGTAAGGCACATAATGCTCATCTCAATTTTCAAAAATGTGTAAGTTTTAGCGAACATTTCAATTAAATTTTTGTATTCGTTAGTGAAAAATATGGATAACTTTGTACTGGTAAAAGTTTCACCGCAAAAAATTTTATATGTTATAGAGATTATGATTATGCACATTTTAAAAATTTTCTAGAAATTTTTCACTAGGGATTTGAAATTTGCAAGGTTTTTATTGAATAGAAAATTATTTGGATATTGAAAAATAGTATTGTAGTACAATAAAAGTCTTAAAATGTTATTTTATATAACATCTAGTAATTTGATAATTTTTTTAAAAATATACATTTTGCCTAGTTGGATTTTCTGTCGTCTACCATTATACAACATTATGAAATTTTGATATATGCTTAATTACTTTTTAATTGTTATAATATGATGATATATGTGCATATGTAATTAAATTATTTCTGTTGGGAGCTATAAGTGGCCATAATTCTTTGAGATTTTGTCTGTAACAAAAGATTGCTGAGAGTTATAAGGAGTTAAAATTCTTTGAGATTCTATTTAAAATAGGGATATCTAATATATTTTGGTACTATAAGCACAAATAAAAATATAGTTATGAGGAGTCAAATCCTTTAAGATTCTGTTTGGGTCCAAGAAATATGAATTGAACTACTCTATGATATGAATTTTAATTTATTTATTTGTTATGTACTTTTATTTAAATCAGAGAATAACTGTTGTCTTTATTACATTTTCTAATTTAGTGATTTATTTAAATTGTATTTAACTCCTTTTAAATATTCAACAAAATATTTGATAAAAAAATTTGAAAATTTAGATTAGTTTGTGTTGCATGCTGAGCTGTTATAGCTCACTATGATTTTACTTTTGGTTTTCATGATCTGTGAAGGGGAAAGAGGTTGTGGACTAACAGTTTAGGATTGGATCTAAGGTCATAGGTATTTTACTATTTTTATTTTTGTACATTCATGACTAGTTAATTTTTTAGTTATGTAATATTTGCATGTAGTAATGTACTGTAGTGTAGATATTTATTTTAATGAATGAAAGAAATTTAATGGATGAGTTTTTTAGTATTCAGATATTTTAGTAGCTATATAGACTGTAGTTTATTTCAAGGAATATTGGAAGAAAATTTGAAATAATTCTAAAACCAGATCATGGGATTTGTCTGTTAAGCTCAATATGATATGACATATCCTAGTTGGGTTGGCTTGTGACACAAAAGCAGAAATATCGGTGGAAATACCAGCATTTTTTTCGATGGAATCTATCTGATGGAGTCTTTGGCGGATGAGCTGTCGGTAACTTTTCGACGATCATTCCATCGAGTAATATGTCATTCTTCTTAAAGCTGATGAAATGTACAAGTAAAAATTTTGTCAGTATGATTTCGACGGATGTGCCGGTGGAATATTTACTAGCTTACTTAAACCCGTCAAATTAATTCCGATAGAAGTGCCACCGAAAAGTTGGCGACAAATTACCCGCCAGAAACATCATAGAAAAAATCCCAATATCAGACCTAGCCCATCTTCCTTCCTATTACGTGATCATCTCTCTACCTCATACTTTTCTCCTCCCAATCTCGCTCTCTCAAAAATCGTC